CAGTAGTAGTAGTAGTAGTAGTAGTAGTAGTAGTAGTAGTAGTAGTAGTAGTAGTAGTAGTAGTAAGAGCAGTAGTAGTAGTAGCAGTAGCAGTTGTAGTGGTTTTAAAAAAATGTTTCTGATGATGTTGAAACTGTTCGATGTAGATGTTATTGAAACTATTCGATGTTGTTGTTGTTACTGCTACAGCTGCACTGCTGCTGTTGTTGTTGTTGTTGTTGTTGTTGTCGTTGTTGTTGTTGTTGTTATTGTTTTCAGCTGAAGGAGCAGACCACACCAGAGTGCACATTAACAACCATGCACATGAGTATATCCACTGTGAGGTGATAGTTTAGGAGGAAGAGATTTTGGCAATCTTCAATGATCAAGATCTGCACATTTTAGTCACATTTGCTGGATTCGGGTAATAACGTGAGGGTTAGTGTAAGTGTCGAGTTAGGGTAGGGCGTGGGGTTAGAGTAAACCCTACAATACCCCTATCCCTAACCCTACCCAAACCCCGGCCTACGCCTGCCTTAACCCAAACAATTACTGCTCTTATCGTATTACCCCAAGACAGCAAATGAAAAAATGTCGCATCTGTTTGTTTGTTTGTTTGTTTGTTTGTTTGTTTGTTTGATAGTTTGAGTAAAGAGAAGCACATTAACATAATGATGGTCATAATTTAGTGCTGGGAAAAAAGTACAACAGACAGACAGAAGCAACAGAGGGAAAGTTAAGAAATCGGACCTACCAGTGCGGCCCTCCAAGCACCGCTAAAATGTCGTGCAGAACTGGAAGATTGCCTAGATTTCCCGCTCTCTGATCTAGGTTACTATGCAGATTCGACCAGCACAAGAACATGGCGGTCGCTGAGACGACGACCACTACTTACGCGTCCTCCGATAACAAACTTTGACACCACCCCCCCCCCTTTCCCATTCTTACAAAAAGTTTAAAGTGTCTTTTTCGTGCATGTCATGGCGACCTATTTGGAAAGGGGGAGGGGGCCCGGGACATTTTTACCATAAAAAATATGCACGCAAGGGACGTCGCTAAAATTGCGGCACTAACTTGCAACACAAATTATAGGTCATAAAAGTGACGAAGTTTGGATGCGTTACAAGAGACAAAAAAAAGGAATAGAGAGAAAGACGATAGATGTTAGAAACCACACCAGAGCACCCCTAAACAGGTAACGTTACTGTTTGAATGCGTTTTCATTCTCACATCATCACGGTTTTTCTTAGCAGTGACCGGTCTCTCCGTCCCCCATCCCACCGCAATCATTTCTCTCTCTCTCTCTCTCTCTCTCTCTCTCTCTCTC